AGCTCAGGGTTGTTGGGCTGAAGTACAGTCTGACAAGGAACAGCAAGACTGGACTAGGACAAACGTAATGTTACTCTACGAAGCTGGCATTTTTCCAGCGTTTGTTGAACTGCTAAACATTGAGATTGAGTAGGTTTCTTTGTACATGTGTATACGATATTAGAATGATTGAATTCCTATTGTACAAAATAATTTTTGTAGAAATAGCACAACTGCTACCTCAGCGATAAGAAAGCTAGCGGTTAGTCTCGCTGATTCGATAGATTTAAGAGTCATTCTGTCCGTTTTGTACATTATAACAGAAGTTATGCGAGAGGAATTAAAAAATATCGAACACAGTGAATATAAAGACAATGTTGAAGCTTTTAAAGAAGATCTTGGTACGTCATTATGTTTGTATGGCATATTTTAATGAATATCAGAAAGAAGAATTTAGTCTTTTTAAAATTACTATATTTTTTTGCAGTAAATCCATATGGAGAAGAATTGCTGATCGTTAAACTTCTTGGTATGGTAACGTGTTTTTGCAGTGGTTCGGCACCACATTTTCCTATGAAAAAAGTTCTTTTGCTTTTGTGGAAGTTGATTCTGGTCTCTCTTGGCGGCATTGACGCACTCAGAGAATTGAAAAAACAGTATCGCGAGGAGGCAGGACTCGATACACAACAGGAAGACACTATCGAAGTCGCCAGGTTGATGAGAGCTAGCTCTCCGCCTATGAGTGCGGCGGATTTATTAGAAACGCAAAATCAGAAAAGGAATAATCGGCCTTTTCGACGGGTAATTCGTCGATTATAGAAAATTATTTTATATGATTGTTTTAATGTTTCCACACATATTAATCATCAAATGTTTTTCAGAGTTTGATGAAACAAAGCTCTTTAGATGATCCAGGTTTAGGTATGGAATACGAAGGAGGGGAACCTCCAAATAATACCACAGCAAATGAAGGAGATGGTGAATTGATTGTGTTTCTGGGTCCTGGTGGACCTGGCGGTTGGAATCAAACGTATTACGAAGATCAGAATAATCAATCACAATTAAGGCCAGGTACTCCACAGCTTATAAAAGGGAAAGGTAATATTTTAGTTTTCTTTTTTGTACTTCTTATATTCGAGTATTAATATATCTAATATCTCATTTATCAGGTTTGCCATGGACGCCCAAAGTGAGGCAAAAGGATGTGGATACCTTTCTTGAAGTTGCCAGAATGAAGTTTGTCGGTTACAAATTGCAAGGAGATAGAGAGAGTTTAGCGGGTTTACCCCAACCAATTCACGAAGGCGTCACTACTCTTAAAAAGGTATATTTTGTTGATTTATGATAATATTGCAACATAATTTACTATCGTAATGTCTAATATTATAATATATTTTAGCATATGTACACATCTCTAGCGGAAACTCAAATACGAAAAGAAGAAGAGATAGCAAGAAACCCAATGAGTACTTTAGAACCACCGCTTCGTCAAACGCCAACGGAAATTCTTTATCAGGCTATATTACCAAATTTGCCACAATATATGATCGCTTTATTAAAAATATTACTTGCGGCTGCACCGACAAGCAAGGCTAAAACAGATAGTATTAATATCTTGGCTGATGTGTTGCCAGAGGAGATGCCGTAAGTATGATAGATGCAACGTAATAATTTACATAAAATCTTAGAAACAAAAAATATGAATGTAATTCATTATATTTGAATTTTTAATTAATTGATATTACAACTGTTAAATATATATGTGTATTTTTTAAATATGTATATTGTAATTATGCTTAATTTATAATACGATTTTAGAATGACGGTGCTGCAATCAATGAAATTAGGAATCGATGTTAACCGCCATAAGGAGATTATTGTTAAAGCCGTTTCTGCAATTTTATTATTATTGCTCAAGCATTTCAAGTTGAATCATGTATATCAATTCGAATTTATGTCGCAGCATTTAGTATTTGCCAATTGCATACCCCTTGTATTGAAATTTTTAAATCAGAACATCATAGCATACATTGAAGCGAAGAATGTGTAAGTAGAAATACAATTGTAATTTAAATTTCTGAGTGTCATAATGTAATCGTCAATTTTTATCGCAACAGTATTCCTATTTTGGACTTTCCTATGTGTGTCATTGGTGATCAGCCTGAATTAACTACTGAAAGTCTCGAGATTGGTCATAGTCAATCTTTTTCATGGAGAAATGTTTTCTCTTGTATCAATTTATTAAGAATTTTGAACAAATTAACCAAATGGAAACACAGTAGAATAATGGTAAGTCAATTTATAATTAGTAACAAAAATTTTTTTAATATATTTATATTTATACATATTTATATTTATGAAAATTAATATGTATCTGATTTTTATGTTTACAGATGTTAGTTGTTTTTAAATCAGCACCTATTTTAAAACGCACGCTAAAAGTCAGGCATGCAATGATGCAATTATACGTTTTAAAATTATTGAAAATGCAGACAAAGTATCTCGGTCGGCAATGGAGAAAGACAAATATGAAAACTATTAGTGTCATTTATGCGAAGGTCCGACATCGCTTAAACGACGACTGGGCGTACGGCAATGGTAATAAATTTGAAATACTTTATTTAATACTTCGTGTTAATGAAAACTTGATAAAAAATTTGTAATGCCTCTGAATTATTAAATAGATTTAGAAGCACGGCCGTGGGATTTTCAAGTTGAAGAATGCGAGCTACGTACATGTGTTGATCAATTCAATAATCGAAGATACTCAAATATTTCGAGAGACGAGGAAATGGAACCGGTTGACGCGTCAGTAACGTCCGTGCTTGGTGCAAATGTGGAATTGACGGAGGAGTTTAAGCAACATTATGAACTATGGTTGCAACAGGAGGTATTTCAGAGGAGTATCAATTGGGACGAATTGTTGGATCCTACGGCGTGTGAAATCTAAGTTTCATATATAAGTATAAAGCGCATGTGAATCGTATTTTCCTTAAATCATAGACCTGAATGGAATTGCGACATTTTTACGAATTACAATACCGTTGTGAGAAGTGTTCAAACAAAAAAACATTGCCATATCGACACTGCAAAAATTTCCAAGTTGCATTTGATATCGCGATGAATGGTCCTAATTTAGAAAATGTTTAACAAAGAGACTTTCTGATGTGAAAACATTTCCAATTTCTTTCGTAATTAATTTGTGCAATGCAACATAGTACTTGTAGTCATTTTCTATCATAACAGGCGCCATTTTCAAATAAATGTAAAAATTTTTCTTTTATATATATATAATGTATATAATATATATTATATATATATTATTTACATATACACAATATATATATATATAATATATGTAATAAAATTTGAAATTATATAAATATAAAAGAGAATATTTAAAAATTTATAACATTTTAATGAAATATGTTAGTCTTTTGCTGTTAAAAATACCATCTAATTTTTCCGTAAATTGAGCTACAATATATCATAATTTACAGGCATACAATGATACGCCATAATTCAATTTCCTACATTTTATATATTTTTTACATGTCCTCTCTCAACACTTCCTATCAAGTGAACATATACAATGAACTTCAAGAGAACTTTAATATACGTGCGCAGAGAATTTTATTTCCTCTTAGCCCTTGCACTATTTAATAATATACAAATATATATGTATATATTTATATATAATTATTACATATATAAATTATACATACATATATATATTTGTATATGGATATGTATACATCTTCAGTTCATCGTTAATCATGATATTAATTTGTATCTATATATATCCATGTATAGCTGATCTTAAGAGGGAGTTGAATAGCAGAATTAAGTTGAATTGCAAAATTTAGTGCTGTATCTTAATGCAAGATGATCGGCTACCGCTTACCTGGTACACTTAGAATAAAGTTTTTCACAATATAGATATATATACATGCAGCAAGTCAACTTTCTCTTATTTATTTAACGTAAGTTACACATTTGAATAATCTCACACAGATCTCTAATGCTGTATAATTTATGTTATCAAATACACTTGTACAGAATGCCATGACTGGTATCATACATATGTTTCGATTGTCAAGATTTAATAAAACTGATCTAAATAGGAAGACTGATTCACATTTCCTTACAATCTTGATCTTGAGATAGCCTTAATATTAGATGGAAGACAATGTTCCTGTAATAGGTTCGTTCTTTGTGGCTGAATTTACTCTTGCATCGACAAGTTCAGTGCAGAATTTGATTGTGCAAGAGTGCAGGATGGAATATAAAAAATGCGAATATCAACATAACAGTTAAACAGTTTTAAACGTTACACACTTAAACTGACTTATAATTTAATATTATTCCTCAAATAAAGAAAAAATTTCGTTCTATTCACGAGAATGAAAAATGAAATCTAATCATTGTAACTAATCTTGACTAAAAATGATGATGATAGTACACATAATTTAATATGATAAACTTGTAACACTAAATAGAATAAAAATCTTAGGAGAATCTATACATATAACTTCAAATGACTTCAAGCTGTAATGAATTACAAAACTGAATATTGCATCCAACTTTTAGGATAATTCAAAAAATATGTCAATATAAAATTATATAGAAAATGTTACTTGATACTACAATATTAATTTTATTATATACTTATAATATACGTAACCTATAAAAACTAAAACAATAATATTCAAATTAATGAATTTCCAAATCCGCATTTCCGCTTATTATCAGATCTTGCAGATTTGAAGGTCTAATATAAAGATTACAGAAAATGAACGTTATTGTTTTATTAAGTACTGCTTACACTTCAATGTATACTCGGCATTAATGTAAAAAGCTCAGCGACACCAGAACAAACCTTGTATTGTCATAGATGTAAAATCAAATATATAGACATTTTCGATTATATAAAACGGAAAGAAATGATATATACAAATCTATACATATAAATATTACATATAAAATTGTATAAAAATATTACATATATATTGTATAACGGTTTATCAAAATTTTTGGAATGTGACAGTCAATGATAATATTATTTTAAAACTTTCTAAACATCTTCGAATTTGTACTTTGCGTCATAAATTTCATCACAGTATCCGCATTGATTCACGGTTTCACCCATTTATATGAACCATAGTACGCAAAATTATGTTTCTTCGCCATTTCATCAGCCTCTTTCGGTCCTCGGGAACCATACCTAAAATTTTTCACATATTAAATAATATTTTGCACGTATTAAAAATACTTACACTTCGCGCTACATACTTATATGGAACCGGTAGAATTTTTTCTTTTTCGATTTGATGAAGCAGCGGTGTGAATATCCGCCACGCTTCGTGCAACTCGTCGTTTCGCACGAAATGCATTTGCGAACCGCAAAAGACATCTAAAATTAATCTCTCGTAGGCATCCGGTAATTTGAGGCCCTGGAGAGATGAAATGACACATTTGTAACGAGAGCATGATACCAAGTATGTAAATATGAAACCGGAATTTTTTAATATATATATAGAAAATACACGTTTATTGCATGAAAATGATAAAAAATATTTTATTCGAAGTATTGCCCATCGCTAGCTATACATTTTTCCCACCTG